TCTGCAGAAATAGTAACAGCCAAGATGAGGCTGGGTGGTTGACCCAGGTTCCAGATTCTACTTTTACACTGTCCTTCATTTTTACATTATCTTTGTAGAACAATTAAATGTACTTTCTGTTTACATGAGGAATTTATTTTTCTCATAGCAAAGCAGGGTTTAAACTCTTGCTTAATTACAAATCATGTATTTTTCTTATGGGAGGGAGTGGAAAGGCTTCAAAAAAATGTCTCACTCTCAGTAACTTAACTGAAACATGTAGCATGGAGGGGAAGGATGAGAGACAGTCAGATTTGTCTTCCCTCCAGCTTGGACAGCTTTTCACTTCAGCATCCTTCACCGCCAAGGTTACCATTTCTCATTTATCCCACACCCCCCATGTTTCCCTGCAAGCTGCTGCTGCTCAGGCAGCAGGGTCAAGGTTTCATCTTCTGTGTGCTTTACCCATTACCTTGCAGTTTCTGTTCCCTTGGTTTTTGTGGTTGGCAATTCACTGCAATTTTGCTGTTTTTGTAGATGAATGTGACAATTCTAATTTGTGGTAGAACACTTTAACTTGAGATCTGGTGGGTAGAAAATAGCAAAAAAGGATTCCTCCTCTACCCTCTTACAAAAGTGAGAAGAAATGTCTCTCTCAGCTTTTTTCTTCTTTGCTATTGTCCGTTTGTCAAAAATTATTAATTGCTCCATTACACCAATTTTTCAAATTTGATTTTTAGTTAAAATTAGAAGAAAGTTAGAAAGATGAGTTATCACTCTTTTTCTTCTTTTCAGTTTGTCTCTTCCAATTTCTGTGTCACTTCTCACTTTCTTCCAATTTGTCACATATTAATTGCATGCTAAATAGATGATTGATATACATTTGCTTTCTCCTTGTGTCAACAACTTAACAACTACAGAGTATGTTTTGCTAAACGGTTTTTCTAACATTCAACAAATATGAACTTACCATTTATTAAACCAGAAATTGGATCACACCATGCATATTCACTGCTTCTGTACATATAATTCTTATATTAGAGTAGATTGAGATACACAAATGGGTTGTAATGTGGTATAGTGAATGGCCACAGTTGAAAAGGATATTCAATATTGAATAATTCCTGTAGGAGGAATTCTAACCCGTATGAAGGTAAATTAGTCATTTAAAGGATTGTGAGAGTTTCTGGGAATGGATGGTAGGTTCCAGCTGGCATGAAGTGAGATTTTGGTGAAGGCTACTGAGAAAATTTTGGAGAGTTAACATTCAGGTTATGGATATGTGTGGATAGAGAGATGGGAAAGACCATAAGACTAGAGACAGAAAAGACTGCTAAGGACTACAGCTTTTTCTTTTTCTTTTTCCTGAATCTAGAGAATCACACAAAGCTTTTAAGCAAGGGGCTGCATTATAGCTACTTCTTTTCTAAGACATAGAGACAGGATTATACTTAGTATTATTTAATAAAACACTGCATATTGCAAATATAGCTGGGAAAGTTCAGATAGCCACTTTAAGCATGTAGTGCAAGGGTTGCTGTATGGTAGGAAAACGAGGATGGTCAGATACACTCTTAAGCGTGTGCATGTGCATGTGTGTGTGTGGGGGGTACTGTATGGTAGGAAATAAAGCTTCCACCCTATGGCCAGTGAGAAATTTGGGTGGTCTGATTTGTAGCGTCATAGTAAAGTAAGTTAAGCAAGTAATGTAAGAGATATAAAGGGGATAAGATTGATTGGACAGAAATATTGATGATATGAGAGGGAGAAGATAGTATTGTTACAGATTTTCAAATGCTGACCTGCATTCTCCACATGTCTACTTACCAACTATCTCTTCTGTCATCTCGTGTGGTGGGTACACAACTGTATGGGGGAAATGCTGGGCCGTTGACCTTCTAACAGAGGCCATTTGTATCAGCAAAGCTATTATCAAGAATTAGGCTAAACAACTCTTCCTGTCAAATGAATTTTGTGCCTTATTATGTTGCATGATGAATGGAGCCATTACATTGTGGGATAGGATGTAGAAGGGGAGGCATTGTGGTTGAACAAAACAAAGCCAAATCAAGAGAGCTGGGAGAAACAAAAGCAATAGAATTAAAAACTAAGCATGTTGTTTACTGAGAGTGCATTGGGCCAGATTTTTATTATGGCTCAGAGTTTCTCTAAACGACTTCTCAATGACCTTAGTAATCTATGCTACTATGTTACTCTGTAAAATGATAGTTCTGGAAAATGCCTGAAAGAGGGCTTATTTAACCATATGCCTCTTAAAAACTTTATTCAACAATAAACTTCCTAAATTTATTGAATCCAGAATTTTACAAATATATTTTCCCACTCGTCTTTCACTAACACTGTGTTGGCATTGTGTGGAGCTGGTGCTGTGGGGAGTCACAATTAAGGAAATGTCATTCTAATGGGTGTCAAGTATTTGTTGGTGCTTACTAAACATTGACCATCTGCTGTGAGGTATCAGCTAGTAGATGGACTCTTTCATTTAGTCTTCATACCAGTTATCCTAATTATGATCACTACTATTAAAAACTTTACCTTACTGCCAATGAAAATATAGTTATTAGGCAATTTATTCAAACTCATATTCCCAACAAACAAAAACTTGATTTTAGACCCAGTGACCAAATTTCAATGTTCAAATATTTCTCCCTTTGTATGTTATCTTTGACATGTGTCATGGGTGTGCCACATATATTACATAAATATACCATTGTATAGTAGAAGAACGTTAAGCAGATTACCCGAACAGTTACTGGAGGAACTATAGACACAGATTTAAAATAACCAAAGTTATATAAGTGTGGCTGTGTTATTTATTTGTCCTGTTGCTGTAACATAATGCCTGCAAAAGCAAATTGCAGGAAAGAAGGTTTATTTTGACTCATCATTCAGGACTACCATCCATGATGGCAAGAAAGTCACAAAGCAGAAACTGGAAGCTTCTTATTATATCACTTCTTCGGTCAGAAAACAGAGAATGATAAGTCTTCTTGTTCAGATGGCTTTCTTCTTTTTAAGTCTGAGATCCAAGCTGATGAAATGTTACCACATAAAGTTAAGATAAATCTTGGAACCTCAATTAATCTAATCTAGATAAACCCTCATAGTCATGTCAGAGTCTTTTGTCCTAGGTGATTCTGCAAAGAAGACAATATTAACCATTACATTCACACTCTGGAGCCCAGAGCATGGATTCAAACCTCAATGTTTGGGGATCAATGCTTTTAATCCTTTGAACCTCCTTTTCCAGCATATAATGTATATACTCTTCCACGCTAAGAAGTATTAAGAAATAACCATACTAAAGCCAGCTATTTCTATGCATTTCTTCATGTAAAAATGCTATGAATTGTATGCTCATATTTGTTCATGGATTTGAAGATGAATTATTTTAGAGGTAAAGCTGTGAGGAAAGAGTAATTCAGTGACCTTAATGGGGTAGAAGAGCCAAGCATGGCCAGGAAAGAACCCAGAAAGTTGTTAGATGAAAGACAGAGCAGAGAATGGGGTGCCAGCAAAGCTGAGTTCAATACAGGATCTCAATTGGAAAGGTACTGGGGCAGATGTGTATTTTGTTCTTCCTTGTAAATGCATCCACGTGGAATCTACTCACTTTGGTTCTGGTTTTACCTAACCGTTGTCGGTGAGGCAAACAAGGATTAAATAAGGGTTTTAGAAGTATGTCATTCTCAGCCGGGTGTGGTGGTGCATACCTTTGATCCCAGCACTCTGGGAGGCAGTGGTAGGTGTATCTCTGTGAGTTCAAGGTCAGCCTGATTTACAAAGTGAGTTCAGGACAGCCAGAGCTACATAGAGGCACCCTGTCTTGAAAAACAAACAGAAAAGCAAACAAACAAACAGACAAGAAGAATTGTGTCGTTCTGGCTTTGAATATTTACTCTGTCTTTAAATGTGACCTTAAGAAAATTTCCAAATTGTATCAGCTACAAAATGTAAGAGGAAAAGAGACAGTCTCTCAAATGAACTCCTTGCCTCCTCCTTGATCACTTCTCTCTGGTGAGGTGACCTAGCCAACCCACAGAGGAAGAGGATCCAGGCAGTCCTGGTGGGACCTGATAGGCTGGGGTCAGACAGTAGCTGAGGAGGACTTCCCCTATCAGTGTACTGACTAAGGGAGAGGGATAAGGGAGGAAGAGGGAGAGAGGTTGGGACCAGAATACAAAGTGAATAAGTTGTAAATAATAATAATGATGATGATGATAAAAAAATTATCTGTCACCACCCCCAAATTGAAATGACTTTATTCTGGGTAGAATTCATTTAAACCTTAACTATTTATTTATTTATTTATTTATTTATTTATTTATTTATTTATTTAT